AATAGCCTTGGCCTCGAGGCTAGTCCACCATTCGCGACCAGGCAGGTGCTCGCCGCCCTGAAAACCGACAGGGTCAGGGAGAGTCTTCTTCACTGCATCCCGGTGGATTTTCCCGGGAAAGTCGGGTTGAACCACGGCTTGTTCCCACGTGTCGAAGGCAAAGTCAAAATATTAGACCGCCGCGGGAACTAGATCGTCGAGAAAATTGAACGAGTTACAGAACGCCTCTACCACCGCCTTGCGGTAGTGTTCGAGAAAGACTGCCCTGGTGGGGGACTTCAAGAAAGTTCTACGGCCTTCTTGGAGCCCATTTTCCCTTTCGACCATGGCCTCATCGGTGGCCTTAGCCAAGTCGACTCTCAACTTCTCAGCTTTCTGAACAGCCGCCTCCTTGTCGGATCGAAGCTTGGCAATGACGGCGTTCGCGGCCTCATGTTCTTCTTACTTGGCCTCGAGCTCCTCGCACTTAGCCGTATACTTTTCCCCCAAAACTTTGACGTTGGTTTGGGGGGAAGACGCCTCCTCGATCATGGACCGAAGGATGCAGGCAAGAAGCTAAACATAAAAAAGAAGAAACGATGAATGATGAATGAAATAATAAGACAGGTAGAATTGGGACAGAGAACATGTGAACATAGCTTACCCGAGGAATGAGCCGGGCAGCGTAGCAGGCCCGATGATAAGGGTTACCATCGGTCTGAGTTCTATCGGCCTCGAGAAGAGTCGAGTGGAGGTAGTTGAGAATCTGCATTGGGTCGGTGTTATCATAAAGCCGAGAAGGTTGTTGCAAGGTCACGGCCTGTACCCTCACGGGGGACGACTCCCCCGCATCTTCCTCAACCACCGGCTCCTTTCTTTTTTGGCATTTTGGGAGTCGGGCACCAGGGTCATGTCCCTCTAATCCTGGGGCCCTTTGCGGGAGAGGGAACCCGACGGCTGAATCGGCTTAGAAGCCGAGGGAAGCACAACTCTAGATTTTTTGGCGGAAGTCGTTTCGACTGCCGCAGTTTGAGCACCAGAGCCTAAGCCTTCCTCAGGCCTCTGGGAAGAGGCAGGGGGAGCAGTAGACTTAGCAGCCGCCTCGGCCTTCTTCTTCTCGAATTGCTCCAGGGCTTTCACTGTCGACATAAAACTACAACAACAATTAATAAAAGAGTACTTATACACACGCATCAAATGGGGATAAAAAGACATCCAGACAATTAATAGGAAGTCGAAAAAAAAAACTAAAATAATAAAGAGTTTACAAGGATCCTTAATTCGGGGGGCGCTCTTGTCGACACAAATCCCAACATGATTAAGAAGGGAGCTATCTTTAGTCAGTCGACGAGCACTCCAAACGTGCTTATTCAACTCCTCCAGCATACTCGCAAACTGCGAAGAGTTGGGACGCTTACGCTGTTTTGTCTTACTGGTAATCCACTCATTCGAGAAAGGGTATTGGCCGGGAGCAGGTCGAATAAAGAAGTACTTTTTCTTCCATTCGGTGATATTAGAAGAAAGTCGCCAAGGAAGGATACCCCCACACGACGACCCAGGTAATGGGCATCTTTGCTAAATCTATAGCCATAGCAGTAAAGGAAAAAATCGGGTACAAAACTACCTAACACTATACGGGTGACGATTATGAAGGCCACCATTATTCGAATGGAATTGGGGGTGAATTGGTTTATTGGCACATCATACATGTTACTCAATGACAACAGCTCATGTTGGATCGGGAAGCGTAATCCCGACATTATTTGATCAACGAAAAAGTAAAGCAATCACGAGGAGGATGCTTGAAGTCGTCACAGGGCGTAGGGGCAAGCAACGCCCAGTCGGAGGGAAGACCGCTGTATTCTGTAAGGCCCTCGATTTCGGCTGCAGGGGCATAACAAAAGGGATTAGGAACAGCTAATTTCGCTACAGGACAGGCTAAAGTTACAGGCTCGACTGAAGGAGCTTTTATCAATGAATGAACAAGACTTGTTCTATACACGAGGATATCTAGTAGCCTAAGAGGGATACCTCGAGGGATTAGATTAAGTCGAGGAGACCCCGGGGTACGAGAGGTCTCAGGGTCCTCAAACAGAGTGCCGGATAGCAGTGCTTGATTGTACACATCCCTGTCGACTCCAAAAGACGAGACGGTGGAATGAACAGAGTTCTCGGGCTCGACATTTAGGCCGACACTCGGTCCGAAAGAGATTATTTGTACAGAATCAGAACTCGAGTAGTTGTCAATTTCGCGGGTAAGAGATCCAGAAACAGGGTCGAAGTCAGAATCTAAAAAGAAAAGAGAGCGGCAATCAATAGATGTGGATAATTACGACCGCGATTCGACTTAAAAAGATGTGGGTCAACGAAGGAATTAGGAAAGCGCGTGAAGCGACTCGACAACAGAAAAAGAGAGGGGAAGAAGCGAAGGATAACATTTTCCGCTTCGACTCGACTTGACATGCGAATGCCAAGTCGATGGCTAGATAATCCATACAAGAGCAGAAGAATCGATTTCTCATATCAAATCGACTGCTGAACGAAAACACTGGGAAAAACGAAAAATTTACAACTGAAGATCTAACAAAAAAAATCGCCAGAACATCTAAAAACCCCAGAAAATCCGATGAACATATGAATCTCAAGCATATTACCCAGAAAAGAAAAAAGAGGAAAAAATCACACGCAAGAAACAAAGAAAACTTACACATGATGATCATCAGGAAAGTCTCGGAAAAGGCTTGAGAGGAGCGCCGGAAAACGGGTAGAACGCTGGAAACTTGGGATGCCTTTATTGCTGGAGAAAAGAGAGAAAACTCGAGAAAACTGGAGTGCGAAAAGTGAGAAATAGGGGAGGAAGAGGGCATTTATAGAAAAAGTGGAGATACCCTAGCCCTCAGATTAAAGGCATATCCAACGGATGAGATAATGCACGGAATACGAAGCGGTGGAGAGAGAAACATCTTGTCAGACTCTAAATCATTTTGAATTTTGAAACTCTAAAAATCCGGACTTATCCAATCAACGCGGAATTTATAAGGCAGACGAGTCATTTACGAGTCGAAATAACAGATGGACACAACAGGAACCTAGGAAATCGACTAAGAAAAAGATGTCCTACGAGGAAACACGACTTAGGACAACGACAAGTGGCAAGGCATGAAAAGATCCAAGCAAGATACTCAGTCGTCAAAACTTACTCTTAAGCTCAGAATCGCTTCGAGTAATTTTTGGGGGGACTAGATGATATAGCCATACTGCCGTATAACGGTTCAGACATTACCGAGTCAACTGATCTGAAGTCGATTCTTTCTGCAGACTCCTTATAATATCTCCGGTCTATAAGGGCCCAGGCGTCTCTCTAAGTCAACTTCAATGTGTCGACTAGCAGAAGTCGACTCCCTCCAGAAAGATGGACAAGCGCATCAGGGTCTACTGACGATTGAAGATGACCTAGTCGACTCGAGTTGATATCCCGAGTCGACTGAGGAAGTCTCGAGGCTCATAGATCCCCGACGACTCCGGTGTACTTCAACATATCATAAGGAAGCTATTAAGGATAAGAAGGAATCTAGATGCTGACTAGGAGATGGACGGAATGCGAACCGACCATGGTATTTGTACATTTCCAGTAAGTCGGCCGGGGCATTTTGGGAACTTCAGGTAAATGTTTTGCTTCTATATAAAGGAGCTGAGGTAACCCCAAAACCCTAACTCCCAATCATTCTATACTCCCTCCATTACTGCTGCTGCTCTCTCAGAGCAGCCCTCTTCATCTCTTTCACATACTGACTTGAGCGTCGGAGGCTCTACGCCGGGAACTCCTCCGGTGTTGAGTTCTTGCAGGTGTTCTCGCTATTTGACGACGGTTCGAAGGCGGTCAAGGCAGATCCTAGCCCATTACCATCGGTTCATTCCAGATCTGAGCCCACTCCCATCGGTTCGCTCCAGATCTAAGAAGGGACCCATTAGAGTTGTAAATAATATCAATTTTATACATATATAATTTTAAAAATATAACTAAAAAAAATATTTTTTTTTTGACAAATTTAGTGTAAAAATGCAGGCACCATTTAAATTAGTTATCACTTTATTAATGAATTATTATTATTGTATATTGATTATACATAATTTTATAAAATTTATTTTAATTTACTTATTATACAAATATTAATATTAATATATTTAAGTACCGTTATGCACAACAATGTCAAATGATTTGATGGTCATGATCCCTCTCTCTCAACTCGTGTCAGAGTATCATACGATTCTCCACCTTAAAGTTTCTCTCGGTATTGCTCGCGATTAATTTTCCTAATTTTCAAATCCTCGTAGACAAATCCAGCTTCCAACGCAAATATTTATGTCTGCAAATTGGTTATTTTCGAAGGGTAAGGATAGAAGGATCGCATCCTCTCTCTCTATGACTACTCCATTTTTCTTTTTTTTTTTTTTTTTG